CCACCACTTTGAGGTAGATCGGTCTTCCCACATCGGGGGCTTTAGGGGGATCCGTAGGATCCCCCGCCCGCCCTATGCAGGTTGAACATATCCAAACCTCAGATGCCCTGAACAAGGCGATGTGTAAAGATGGGGGGGGCTAAAGCGGGATCCTTTGGATCCCCTCCCATCTCCTAGTGTGCTTCGTTCAATTCCCTTGTACCGAACTCTTCTAGCCCGGTCAGCTGCCCTTGGGAGAACAGGCAGATTATCTACGTTACCGATAGCGGTTTCCGAGTCTAATGGGCACGGCTCTTAACCGGATAGAAGCATCAGAAGAATTGGTTTTCCTGAGGGAATTTGTGCCACTCTCCATCAACCGGATTATAGCTTTGATATATCAAAATATGTTGTGTTTCTTATCGAACCTTATTTGGTTATCGTCTAACCTATGCTCCAATGATGCTGCTCAACCTTGGCAATTTGGCTTTCAAGATGGGGGTTCTCCAAGCTACGAGGGGATAGTAGAACTTCACGATGATATCATGTTCTACCTGATTCTTATCTTAGTAGGGGTAGCCTGGATGCTTATGTCCACGATCCGCAACTTCAATTGGAACCATAACCAGATCGTTCACAAATACCTTAACCATGGAACGGTTCTAGAGCTTATTTGGACTATCTCACCAGCACTCGTTCTGATAGCTATTGCTTTCCCTAGTTTCAAACTCCTTTATCTATTAGATGAGGTCATCGATCCAGTGATGACTGTTAAAGCTATAGGTAATCAATGGTATTGGTCTTATGAATACTCTGATTACGTGGATCAGGAGGGTCAATCTATTGAGTTTGATTCTTACATGGTTCCAGAGTCTGACCTAGAAATAGGGGATTTAAGACTCCTAGAAGTTGACAACCGAGTTGTGGTACCAGTTGATACACATATACGGTTTATTGTTACGGCCCGTGACGTAATTCACTCTTTTGCTGTTCCTTCTCTTGGTGTTAAGCTTGATTGCATCCCAGGTAGATTGAACCAATTCTCTCTTGTTATTAACCGTGAAGGGGTCTTCTATGGACAATGTTCTGAACTGTGCGGGGTGTTACATGGATTTATGCCTGTGGTTATTGAAGCGGTTTCTCTTGAGCAGTATTTGGCCTGGCTCTCTGACCAAATTTCCCCCCTATTTAACAAAGAAGGTTATACCCCCTGTATTTACTTATGTAATACCCATTTACCTTCGGTTTGCTAGGCAGCTGCCTCTAAGGAACGAATCTTGGCCTTGGAGCAGGCCGCAATAGACCTCCTTTGCCCCTCTTATAACATACTCACTACTGGCGGCGGGCCCCGGGGGCCGTAGGCCGGCCTCTGAAGCCCCTAAGGCCCCGGGGATCCTTTGGATCCCCCCTCGGTTGGGCTCAACAGCTAGCGAGGAGAGTAAGGCAAAGCTCTCGGCTGCTAATTAGGGGGTAGGTGGTAAAGCACGGGCTTCTCTGAAGCCCCTAACCATGGGATGTTTGGTAAGAACCACAGCGAGGAGAGCAAGGCAAAGTTTAGCGGGGCTAATAATGGTCAATCTAAACCTGTGCCTATATTACGTTACTCACTCATCCCCTGTTCTGCTTAACCATTTTCATACTACTATGAGGCTTCCCTTTCGGTTAGCCAACCGACAATCTCTCGCCGCATAAAACGGGCTCTTTGAATTCGACGGTAGACAATGCCGTGTATCCTTTGGGGGGGGGCTAAAGCCGGGCTTATATGAACCCCCTAAAGGCCCTATCTAATTTGATCAGCTCATTAAGTTTGGTACGTGTGGTATTTCCCCCCCCCCCCCTAATTAACC